TTAATTTTAATTAATTTAAAATTAAATTATACTTAATCACATAAAATTTTGTTTAATTTCTATTATTTTATTTATTAAATTTAAATTTAAAATTTTATTTAAATAATAATTTCACATAAAATGTTTGATTTTATTTTATTTAAATTTTATTTAAGTCAAAAAATTAAATAATCAAATAAGTCAAAAATCTCGCTCAAATATCAAATCTCTTGCAATATAAGCATGACATGACAGTATTTTGCCATCCAAGCAGCCAAGCGAGAGAGTCCTAAACGGCAGTTAAGCTAGGCGAGCGAGTCCCAATCGGCAGTTAAGTTGTCATAAGAATAAGGGTTCAATTGCTTTGATTGCAGAGTTTAAGGATTTATATGCATAAATTAAAATATAAGGGTTTAATAGTGATTCTGATATTAGTTTCAGGGGCTTACTTATAGTTTTGTCAAAAAAAAAAGTAAAAAAAATCGGCTGGAGAAAAATTGCTTGCTTTTACTCAATACAATATCATTTCTCTCACATGTACCAAAAAAAAAAAAATATCATTTCTCTCAAAAAAATAAATAAATAAAATAATAAAAGAATCCTAAATAGAGAATTGGGAACAGGTTGGAATCCTTATTGATCATCAGTTTTGCCAATTTTATTATTATAGCGAAATAAAACAAATTAATACATTGTTTGATTTAGATAATTATTAGAATCCCTTTTATTTTAACATATGTAATAATATATTTATTAAAAATATTTTATTTTTAAATTTAAAATAAAAAATTAAAATTATAAATGTTAATAATTAAATTATAAATATTAATAAATGTGTTAAATAAGAAAAAAATGTATTAATCATTTTCCTGTTTCATCTTCTTGTTCATTAATCTGAACTCTGAAGGACTACATCACATTTTTTGAAGACGAGCAATTCTTTTCTAAACTTTTTTCCTAATCTCCGCGGTAAAGGATGGATGACAATACACGCCAAGATGCATCTCGCTCGGCCTGACGTACGTGCCGGCCTAAGCATTATTTAACGAATTTACATATACAACCACAAAAACTAGATTCTTTTTTATTCTATTTGGTATCAATTCTATATAAACTGTGTTCCTCCATAGCCTACTTTCAAGAAAATCCAATCTGAACTACAAACTGCAGATGGAACCGGCCAAGCCCCATGCCGTTTGCATACCTGTCCCGGCACAAGGCCACATAAACCCCATGCTAAAACTCGCAAAACTCCTCCATTTCAAAGGTTTCCACATCACTTTTGTCCACACAGACTTCAACTACAACCGCTGCCTGCTTAGCTCTAGAGGACCAGATTCTCTCAAGGGCTCAACCAGTTTTCGGTTCGAGACGATCTCTGATGGCTTGCCCTCCACAAATCAGAGGGGCATCCAGGATCTCCCTGCCTTGTGCTTGAAATTACCGGTTGCTGGGTTGCGTTCCTTTCGAGACCTCATAAGAAGACTCAATGATTCGGCTGATGTCCCTCCGGTGACTTGCATCGTTTCCGACGGTGTCCTGAGCTTCACCTTGGAAGTTGCGGAGGAGTTTGGTATCTCCGAGATGGTTTTGTTTACACCTAGTGCTTGCGGCATGTTGGGTTATGTTCACTTTGAAGAGCTAAAGGACAGAGGATATTTTCCATTGAAAGGTATAATGTAAATCAATATGGTCCCCTAGTCATTAATTGTCTCTCTAGTTCAATTATGCACATTACGTGCTTATATTTGCTAAATATTTCGATGAAAATTTACCATAAAAAAAATATTTACTTGAAAATATTAAAACACTCATTTGATATCATATAGCCATTAAGAGGTCACTGTGGTAGGACATACAGTTTAATTTGGTCTTGTTTCTGTTTATTTTCCCAATATCATACCTAACTACGAATGACAATAAAACAAGTACGTTTTTTTTTTTTTTTTTAACATTGGGAAAACACAAAAGAATAGATAATTTTTTCAAGTAATTAATGAAATCAAATTTTTAACTAACTAAATCCAAATACTAAGGTTAAATTACTGTATCTAAACACTCAATTCATGAAATGAGTTACTCTTAATCAAATTATCTAATTAATTTATTATACTGTTGACAGATGAAAGTTGCTTAACCAATGGATATCTAGACACTGTGATCGACTGGATACCAGCAATGAAAGGAATCCGACTTAAAGACCTCCCTACCTTCCTCCGAACCACAAATCCAGACGACATAATGTTCAATTACAACTTACAATCTGTCAACAATTCCGTGAAAGCCAAGGCCGTAATCCTCAACACATTTGATGATTTAGAGGAGGAGTTCCTCGATGCCATCAAAACCAAGTTCCCCAATCTCTACACCATCGGCCCCTTACACCTGCTTCACCGACAACTCTGCCCTGAAACGTCCCTGAACTCCATCGAATCAAGCCTATGGAAAGAAGATCACAACTGCTTAGATTGGCTTGATAAAAGAGAACCAAAATCAGTTCTTTATGCGAATTATGGAAGTTTGATAACGGTGACCCAAGAACAGTTGAGGGAATTTGCTTGGGGACTTGCCGACAGCAACTACCCTTTTCTTTGGGTCATCAGGGCTGATGCTGTCGAAGGTGGAGAGGAGATTTTGTCAAAGGAATTCATGGAGGCAATAAAGGGCAGAGGATTGCTGGTGGGCTGGTGTCCACAGGAGAAAGTTCTAATCCATCCAGCAGTGGGAGGATTCTTAACACATTGTGGATGGAATTCCACATTGGAAAGCATTAGTGAAGGCGTGCCATTGATTTGTTGGCCCTTTTTCGCTGAGCAACAAACGAACTGTCTATTTTCATGTACAAAGTGGGGGATTGGGATGGAAATTGATTGTGATATCAAAAGAGGTATAATTGAGGCATTGGTGAAGGAGGTGATGGAGGGAGAGAAAGGGAAAGGGATGAGGGAGATGAGTCAGGTTTGGAAGAAAAAGGCTGAAGCTGCGACTAGTCCTGGTGGGTCTTCGTTCAGGAACTTTGATCGGTTGATAAAGGAGTTAGAACAGAGGCCAATTTGTTAAGGGGAAAAATTAGTAATAAGAGAGAAGAATAAAAAAGTGCAAACTTAATCTGGATGTGAGCTGAGAATTCTGCTCAACTGTCTTGTTTCTTATCTTAGCAGTGTATCAATATGTTATTGAAAAACATTTTAAAGAAACTGGGTGAAAGATATATAGCTCCATAATAATCAGTGAGGTTACAATGATGGAATTAGATGCAAAATTAACCTTAAACTAATAAAAAAAAAGTACAATAATTATACTTTTTTATATGAGATTAGTGTATATCAATTTCGACTCTTAAAAACAATTGAAGTTCTAACATATATTTGGAAACGAAAATTTCATTTTATTAAATGTCAATATATAAATTTAGAATCTCATTATATATTTTAAT